GAGAGAACACAGTCCAACTGTGACATGAAAGAGACAAATATTGTTCACCTTGGAAATACTATAATCAGGTATTTCTTTCCTCAGATCAAAACCAACCAGTGCATAAGACCCTGAAAGTCACCTAATCAAAACATACTTAATAATTCACATGACTACAAATAGAAGACGTAAATAGTGATATGGTAAGCAGATGATGCTGTTGGTTGGAAGAAAATGGAAAATGTTAATCAGTTTCCCAGTAAAATGGAACAAGCAGCTGTTGTTATGTGTCATCAATGAAGTCCTTCCTACTGACAGACATCAATTAGTTTCTCTTTAAAACTATTATTCAAATCAATATTATTTTCTCAGTTATTTGACAAGGCAAATCAATAAATATGATAACCAGTTGCCACACAAGGATATACAGAGTTTTCAGACTGCATAGGCATAAATTTAACTACTTCATTGCATGGTAAGACATATCCTAAAACACAAGAGAAATCATTATTATTCATACTAGTACTAGAAAATCATACAGCATATCTATGTACTTGTAAAATTGAAAACAGTTTACAAATATCTATATGATCATTAAATAAATGCAATTATTGCCCAGGTCATATGTGCATTGCCAAGGAGCATGTTCATGGTTAGAACACTGGACTTGCAGCCAAAACATTGAAAGGTTAAGACTCACTGTCAAGAAGATGAAACTTGACAGAATGCATGGTTGTCAACAAAATAGTTTTGGTTACATATTGTAATTGTCAAAATGAAGCTGTTACAAAAATGTAACTGTCTGGATAGTGTGACAACAGATGATAAAAAATATGACAAGAAAAATCTGAAGAAACACAGAAATAGCAAAAGATATTTTCCAGAAACTAAGCAAAATGTTAAGACAGGAAAATATCTTTAGAAAAAAAAAAAAAAAAAAAAAAATGTGTTGAACTGCTATGTAATATCTACATAGACTCACTGCCACGTCTCCTACATGGCAGTAAATGCTGGATAATTTTTGTACAAATGAAGAAGCGCCTTGAAGCATATAATTGTGGTTCTACCAATAAATAGACAGAACATGTGAGCAGTGAGCTTTGAAGAAAATAGGAACAACAAAGAAACTAAACTAACATCAGAAAAAGAGAATTTAAATTTCCGAGAAAAGGAGCCTAGAGAATTTAACACTCAAAGGACATAGTGAAGGTAAGAGGAGCAAGAGGCAACAGCGATTAACCTACTTAATGAGTTTTTATGTGAATGGAAGGACAAACAAAGACTAAAGTGAATGGTAAAGAATAAAAAGTGACATAGAAGAAGAAAAGAAAGGAAGTTGTGGAGAGCCACGATCCCTAATGACCTGAAAGGACTTGATACATAAAAGAAGACTGCCTAGTAATTTGTTATTGTAAGCTCTCTAGGAAGACAATGAAATACTTTACTCCATAAGGCCTTTCACTATTAAAAAATTACAAGAATCCTGAATTTGAATTGTTAATGGCTTTAAGTCTATGAATAGCTCTTGAGCATGATTTTCACAAAAAAATGATTTGTTTGTTGTCTTATAAAAACTACAACATTCAAATAGAGAAAATATCCATTAATATGGAAAATCAAATAAAAATTACTCAAAACAGCAAAAATTGCAATATAAGCACTGGCAAAAAATGGTTGCTGAAGACATTAGGTTTATAATACCCAGAAATTCATGCACAGATATCCTCAAGGACTCATGGCCAAGTGGATAAAGGCATTAGTTATAATCCAGCGATAGGACCTAAAGAGTGTGAGTTCAATACTTGGTTAAGGTGGTAGAGAACTTGGAGGGGAATTAACAGGACATCCATTAGACATGGCACATGGAACTAGAATAGTCTAACCCAGCAAGCGAAATAAAGACTTCAGTTCAACATTCCAACGGAGCATACAATGGCTGAAATGGCTGAAACACTTTGATAAATATGGCAACAAAGATAGTCCGAGCAATGTAAATAGCGTACATAATATCTCCTCTCAGAAATATAGACAAAAGAAATCTTGCTCTCTGTAAGAGTCACATTCCAACTGATTATTTCCCATAGAGTAGAATCCTTAATTTCTTCACAAAGTATATTAATGTTGTATTGAGGTTGGGAGAAACACATGTGACCAAATGCCGACTACTGGTTTTCCCATCGCTTTTATTGACAGGGAAAAACCCAGATATTACTGGTTTTGACAGACATGTCTGCATGCGATCTAAGACCTTTTTTGCATCTGTACTGACACACATTCACCACAAATAAATCTAAATTACATTATAACTAATTATAAAATGGACATAGTCCGACAATTATTTTAAGACATTTTTATGTTTAATAAACGACAACAATAATTTAACCTGTCTCCTCCAACAGGTTCGATTCCTGTCGGAGGACACATATTTTCTATGAAAAATTCTCAAACATTCAGGCCGGTAAATGTTGTTAATACTGTTTATTATAAACAGTGCATTTACTTAAATACTTGTATCTATAAAAAAGAATTTATAAACATAAAAATGTCTTAAAATTATAACTAATGTTATAACAATTGTTTCAATAAAACATTTAAAAATCATCTCTAGTTTAGGGGAAAAGACAACAAAGTTTTCTATCCAAAATATTAAAGGAAAATATAATTTTTATAATCATATTTTCCTTCTGTATTAAAGATCAAATTTTTTTCAACAGTAAACAAATGTTTGAATTCATCAAATATTACAATATTAATCAAGATTATGGAGTAGCTGGAAGTTAGCTGAGTGTTCCTGGAACCTCAATGCATCACAGGAGATTGTCTTAGGCTGGAACAAACCATGATCAATGGGAAACGTGTCAAACAATAAGGAGTTCAAAATGGTCTGTAACAAGATTTATGTATGTAACACCTGTCAAGACAAACACTAGTTTATTATTGGTTCTTTCAAACTTCAACAGAACATCTTCACCCCACAGCGTTACAGAGCTACTACCAGCTTGCACAACACCTCCTTGTTGACAGTTTGGACCCATCACTTGGTGCAATCTCATCAACATACAAAGGTGAGGTACAGCAATTAATGTCATAATATCAGTAATTGTGCCCCTGTTGGTTGACCATGCATGAAACCCCTATATCGTAATGACTGATACTCTGAGTAAAACCAGTGTTGAATTGAAACATGATTTGATACAATAATTCTCTTTGTTTAGTTGTTATCATCCTTGTTAATTACCAGTGAGGTCTCATTACAGCATCATCTACAAGCACACACACAGTTTTTATAACTATCCCACGGTTGCTACAAAACTACGCTCTCTCTTTATCTATTGTAATACCCATCATCTGGCTGTCAATTTCTAAAAATAGAAAAAAGTGAAACTATCCAGTATACTGTTATCTCTAATTCTGGGGCACTGCAATTGATTTAGAATCATTCAAGATTGTCTTTTGTACAGAAGTTCAAATATATAATGGGAACGGTGAAATTAGCCGTTTCCATGGAGAAAGCAGACAGCATTCTTTGATTAAACAGTGTTACTGTTGATTAGAATTTATAAAATGTTTCTCTTAAAACAATTTCAGCAAATCACACTTCTCAAGTTCACCATTATCACACTTTCTAATACTGATGGGAGTTTCCTTTCAAACCTTTTGTTTAAGATAGTGTAGAAAGTTAACACCTTGATTATATCACTATTGTCCATTCTTGTTACATGTTCTACCCATTTTTATTGTTGCTGCAAGTTTTCATGTGATGTGGTTTTTGTTATTTGCTAAAGCTCTTTGTTTGTGATTTTGTATTGCCAGTCGATAGAATCTGATAATGGATTGTTTTCTTTAAAACCTAAAGGATTCATTCCCTTGAAGGCATTTTTAATTATTAAGCTGAGAAAATGGTTGTATATATAAATAGTAGTTGAAACATTTCTGAATGGATTCCATGCATGACATTCATATGAGAATTGAGATACGATGATGTAATTTAGAAACAGAAGTCAAGTTTTCAGGTGAATGTTTTGGTTTTGTAGCATTTTATGGTGTTGGACAGAAGTAACTCTAACAGAACCTATATTCTGTGTTCATTTTCTTTACCTACTATACAAAATTTGTTATAACTGATTTCAACACCGAGGTATTTGAAGTGTTTAGAATAGTTCTCCCTAAGAGCACAACATGGTGTAACATTAATCATTTCTCCAATGCAAATCTATCACATCTGTTATTTCAAATTTGGTGAAAGTGTTTTAATGGCCATCTTGGCTCATAGTATTCTTTATTTACCTATTTTATCGTATTTATTTTAATTTACACTCAAGTTCTTTATAAAAAAATAAAATAAAATAAAAAAAAACAAAACATAAGTATTGCAAATTCAAGGAGAGAAAAATAAAACCTAATGTAATAAAAGCAACCAAACATTTATACCCCTAAGTAAAATATTATTTTCTACAATACGTATACCATTCATGTCACATCATAATTTTTGCTTAAATAAAAGCCAAAATCAGTTTCTAAGCAATAGAAAATTATTTTCTACCAAAATTGTTTAAAAAGTGTGTGTGTAAAATCTATTATATTCAATAATATCTTGACATGTCACTGACTGTCATAAGATTAAAAAGAGATAATGTCGTTTATTTAATGCTTTGTTCACAATTCAAAGAAAAAAAAAAAAACTATGCTGAGAATGTTATTGCCCATGGTGTTTGCTTGTAATGAATTCTGTTAACATGAAAATCATTTTTCACAAAAATAATCAGAGCATGACCAATAAACGAAGTCATATAGCCTAGAAGATAGTGTTCAAGTTGAGCAAACTTTTCTTTTCCTTCAACACAAAGTTCAAGGAAATTATAGACTGATGCTTGGTATAAAAATAAATTCAAGTAATATTGGAACATAGATTGTGAAAGTGAGATTCAGCATTGTAATTTATAAAATAAAATAGGCTAATGAGAAAAATTCAAGCCCAGGTTCATTGGTTTGAAATTTGTTCTTTCTTAGAGTTATCTCCCTTAAAATCTCATCAGAATGTTCTTTTTAATATTAGTTTCATCTTCATATTTATTACAGCCAATGAAAACTTTTGCGGGGGAAACAACTGCTACAAGAGAGAAAATGAAAGGTGAAAGAGAGAAAGTGACAGGTGGAAAGTGAAAGAGAGAGTGAGAGGTGGAAGTAGAAAAAGAGGGAGAGAATGACAGGTGAAAGGAGAAAGAAGAAAGCATGAAAGGTGGTAGAAGCAAGAGAGAATGAGCGGTGGTGGTAGAAAAGAGAGAGAATAAGTGGTGGTGGTAGAAAAGAGAGAAGTGGTGGTGGTGGTGGAAAAGAGAGAATGAGTGGTGGTGGTGGTTAAAAGAGAGAGAATGAAGGTGGTAAAAGAGAGAGAAAGAAAGAGAGAGAGGTAGTGGTGGAGAAAGAGAGAGAATGAGTGGTGGTGGTGGTAGAAAAGAGAGAATGAAGAAAAGAGAGAAGAGTGGTGGTGGTGGTAAAAAGAGAATGAGTGGTGGTGGTGGTCGAAAAAGAGAATGAGTGGTGGTGGAGAGAATGAGTGGTGGTGGTGGTAGAAAAGAGAGAGAATGAGTGGTGGTGGTAGAAAAGAGAGAGAATGAGTGGTGGTGGTGGTAGAAAAGAGAGAGAATGAGTGGTGGTGGTGGTCGAAAAGAGAGAGAATGAGTGGTGGTGGTGGTCGAAAAAAGAGAGAATGAGTGGTGGTGGTGGTGAGAGAGAATGAGTGGTGGTGGTGGTCGAAAGAGAGAGAATGAGTGGTGGTGGTGGAAAAGAGAGAATGAGTGGTGGTGGTGGAAAGAGAGAGAAAAGAAAAGAGAGAGAATGAGTGGTGGTGGTGAAAAAAGTGAAAGAGAGAGAAATGGTGGTGGTGGTAGAAAAGAGAGAAGTGGTGGTGGTGGTAGAAAAAAGAGAATGAGTGGTGGTGGTGGTAGAAAAAGAGAGAATGATTGGAATTTAGTGTTTAGATTTAACTGAAAATTAACATGTTTGATAAGAGAGTGCCTGCTGGACAATAGAAATGAAGAGGACTTTTTTTTTTTTTTTTACACTAACTGCCTGCTCATTGTCACCAAAACTGAAAAGGTGAAAAATCATTTTTCATGAAATGTGACATGAGTGCTTATAAAGACAATCTACTTCAACTAATTTCTTTCCTTCTATTCTAAAATCAAGTCTAAAACTTTTGAACTCAAGCGAGTTTCCCTTCTAATTCTTTATTACATTCTTTTCTATCCCATTCATTACTTAAATGAAAGAGAAATACAAAATATTTTGCAAAATTACTTGAAGCTACAGATAAACACACACAAACATTTGGATGTGAGGTGGTAAAGAAAAGCATCGAAACACTTAAGAAAGAAAAATGAAAAAAAAAAGGGAGGAAAAAAGATTGTAATACGATTCAAAGACAAGACATAATTCCAGGCTTTATTCAATTCATTCCAACTGCAGAATACAGCTTAACACCTTTCTGATGTAACTCTCTAGGAATGTTAAACTATAAATATCAAAAATGCTGAAAGATGAAACAAATTCCACTCAATTTTAACTTAAGGTCAAAGTAAATTCACAACAATATTACAACATTCTTCCTACATTATTATTCCTTTGCCAAAAAAAATTACAATAATATTTGCATGGAGTATTTAGGACTCAGAATCCATTGAGTAGTTCATCCATTATACATATTAAATATGCTTCTACCAAAGAACTTTTATTCACAAAATAGTCATGAAATTTATTGGTCTGGCAGTAAATATGGTTAGGTCATCTGAAGGAAACCAGAATCAGAAATAAGAGAGCCTAAGGATTCAGATATGGCAGTATTAAGATCCTCAACAAAAGGATGGAATCTCAAGAATCTGAATTTCAAAACAATTCAGAGGATCTTCATTGTTAGTTTGTTTTGAAAAGACAATGCTACATTTTTATAGACTCACCTACAAATTTTACCACAATTGCCAAAAGATGCTAAATTCCAAGAAGATACAGTGGTTTTGTGCTGTTTAGGTTTGATATGCACATAATTTGGATTGGCTTCTAAGAATTTCACCTAGTCCACTAGATTGCATACTTTAACAAGTGAAAATTGTACCTCATGTACACAATTCTGGTGTAACCAGTAAAGACAGCAGGAAGTTGCTACTTGCCAACTGTCACAGAAGCCCAAATAAGTGCACATATGGGGTAGTATTCATAACACATGGACCACAGATCCTTTGTATTTTCTCTGATACAAAAGATCTGCAGTCCATACAATATCAGGACAAACTTCAAAAGCTGGATAACACTTAGCAGAGTAAGACCCCACCGCCCATAGAGTAGAACATGACTAAGATTGTGTGTACACTATCCCATGCAGCTGCGGAAAGAAATATAAAGGGGAGACAGGCCGCCACCTTAAGGTAAGGCTTCAAGAACACCAGAAAGCTGTAACATGAGGGGAAGCAGAAAAATCAAGCATGGCTGATCACATATGGAGAGAAAAGGGAGATCACCACCCTCTGTGGGATCAGGTTGAAATCATAGACAAAGAACATTATTGGAAAATTCGTAAACTTAAGGAATCAGCACATATGCTAGGCCACAAAAATCTCCTGAGCCAACCAAGCATAGAAATGAATACAATATGGGAACCAGTAATAAGGAGTGCCAGAGAAAAGTAATAATAACAGCAAAAATTGCAATATGAGCTCTGGTAAAAACATTCAATGAAAGCAGCAAAAATTACAATATGAGCACTGGTAAAAAATGATTGCTGAAGACATTAGGTTTATAATACCCAGAAATACATACACAGATATCCTCAAGGACACATGACACAGTGGATAAAGGCATTAGTTAGATCCAGTGACAGGACCCAAAGAGTGTGAGTTCAATACCTGGTTAAGGTGGTGGAGAACTTGGAGCAGGGAATTAACAGGAGATAACTGATAACTGACATCCATTAGACATGGCACGTGGAACTAGAACAGTCTACCCCAGTGAGTGAAATAAAGAGTTCAGTTCGATATTCCAACTTCCTGAAGAAGGCCGGAGCGTACAACGGCTGAAACATTGTGATAAATATGGCAACAAGGATGAGGATAATAGTCCGAATAATGTAAGTAATGTACATAATACCTCATCATTTTTAATTTTCACTTAGTAAATATAGTCTTCACTTAAAAACATAATAACCTACTTCATACTCTGGAAGAATTTTAAGACATTTTTTAAAATTAAAGAAAAATGAAAAACTAAAAGAAAAATGCAAACAATTCTTGTAAAAATTCTTTTTTCATAGAAAATTTTTTTTCTTCAGATAACAATGTATACTATTTATAAAAGCAAATAAAAACCTATCTAATTAGATAGTTTTATTGCAGTTTTTATTTTATGATTTGGAGCAGATTTTTAAAAAGTTGGCAGTAGTTGTGAGTAAAAATTGATGATTTACTTTCTCCAAAGAGTCCTGCTTATAAGTAATATAAAACAATTTGCAAACTGCTTGAAATTCTAAAAACTTTTAAAAATTACGTTATGGTGGGGAGGTAACAGATGTAAAAAAAAAAAAAAAAAAAAAATTTATTTTTACCAAGATTTTCTAAAAATAAAAATTTCAAAAATAAATTCATTCATTTTTGAATAAGTCCTGAAAGTTTCATTAAAATCAGATAATTATTTGATTTTTGCAAGAATTTCCAAATTAATGGTTTCCCCCCACCCTGAAAACTACTACACTAAAATGGCCATTACCACAAGTAATACTAAGTTGACAAAGGAAAAAAAAAAAAAAAAAAGAAAAAGAATTTTGACCCAAATTTAGAATGTGTTAGAAAGAAGGAAAAATTTATAAAAATAATTAAAAAAAAAAACAAAAAAAAAACTTTGTTCTTTCCTCTTAATAATAAAAATAAACATTTTGATGATAAAACTTTGTTTTTATTAAGTTTGGAGCCTTTTATCATTATGCTATACTGATTTTTAGCAGATTATTGGAGGTACCTGAATTAAATATTCCAAAGAGAATCCATCAGAAAGTCAAAAAAGAAAATCCATGTCACAATTATTGTTTAGAAATGTTTATAAATTGTAACTGGATTTTTTACCCACATTTATGCAAAACAGCCAAAAACTTAAACTTTGTAACATTAATGTAAGTTAGTGTACTGAAGATGTGGGTCTTGTGAATCTTATCAAAGGAGTTGGTATGCACCCAGTAGAGTAACTCCATTAATGGTTTGGGAATATTTAATTCTTTTTTACGACTTTCTTCAGATGTGGTATGCTCTCTAAGGGGAGTCACATAGCTCAGTTATCCCTTCATCAACCACCACACTTCAAAAGCAATGAAACTTATAACAGAGTATCATCAGGAGGAGTAAAGAAGGAAGGACACCCGACAATAATGGTTAAGGGTAGGGCAACTGCTGACAAGCTGGACAGGTATAAATGGGGGTTTTTTCCACATTTATTGAAACCGAATCCTTTGCAAGATACTTAACTCTTAGATAACAATTGAAGAAACATGTTTCAATCAGCTTCAACTACAAGTCTACCTTTAGCAGAGGCATGGTTCGTACCTAGTTCAACAATTTTAACAGAAGATTAGGACTGCTATAGCCTGATTAAAGGTTGAGAGAATAGGTTTCTAACAACCTTATGCATATCTGAGTAGACTGCAGTCCATATATGAAAGTGTATATACTTATTGCAGAGACTAGGAACCCAAAACAAACATGGCAAATGAAGGGTCCAATGGTGCACACCAAGCAATCAAATAATTACCAACACCTAACTTCAGGAGCACCCAAGACATCTATGGACATGCAGAAGCCTGGGAGGAGACACAAAAAAAAAATTGATTATGTAGCTATCAACAAAAGGTTCAGAAACTGTTCTACACTGTAAAACATATGCAAGTATTGACTGCAGTAGTGACTAACTTCCAGTTGTATGCTACATCAGAGTGAAACTATGGAAACTAAGGAAAACCAATGCAACACCTAAACTGTAATAAGAGATGTGCTTCTGAATGACCCAACTTGCAAGGAAGTGTATATATACGGAGTCAAAAATAAATATAACTTGAGCGAGAATAAATTTTCAAAGTGGAAGATGTTGAAAGCAGCACTGTAACGTCGGCAAATAAGATCATCCCAAGGAAAATGAGACAAGAAAAAATAAAACAGTGGATGACAAAGAAAGTTCTAGAAAAAGTATTACCAAACAATGCCAAAAATTGGCAAAGAGTGCACAAAACACTAAAGACAGAAATTGGAAACAAAAAAGCAGGCTAAAGAGGAATGACTCAATGAAAAGTGTACAGAAATAGATAGGATGCACATCACAAATAAGGGAGATATGCTTTTAAAAGAATAAGAGAAATAAGACATGCTTGTCAACAAGATGCATAAACTCAAAGAAAGGAACACTGAAAATAGAGAAGTACAAAATACTCCAAAGATGAAGTGAATAGGTCAGAATACTATTTCACGATGTGAGAGAGAAACCTACAATACACAAAAATATGGAAGGGATGGAAATATTAAAGTCTGAAATATGATTAGAAGATCTATTGAAGATGAACAGGAACAAAGCTGTAAAATCAGTTAGTGTTGTGGAGTAGTTTTCACAGTGGAGGCTTGTATTTCTATAAGTCGTCCTAAATTAGGTTCGACGTACAAAACGTTAGGAACTTGGAAAATAAGAGTTAATGACACAGCAATCTAGTTGTGATGGTTGGTACTTCAATGTCTGATATTGTCTGACTTGCTCAACACCACTTAGCCGAACTGGCGACTGCTACTACTACTTATTACTCATTATCTGTGGGAGAGTCGATTACAATAGAATAGGTAATATGGCATGACATCTCCCCTAAAACTTTACTCCGTAGGAAGTAAAAAGTTTTCTTTATTTCTTTATTTTTTTTTTAGCAACATCGTAGCGTATCTCCTAGGTTTTGGGTCCACTTTTAAACGATCAGTTGCCTTTCTTTTTCTCCCGGATTGGCGTATCTCAGGTAAAAGTGTTGCAGGCGTAGTTAGATCAAACGTATCGAAAATCACCTCCATCGCGT